GAATGGATAATATTCTAGATCTTGTGTTCACAAATGACATAGGAATATTTGAAGCTCGGAAAAGAGCCCCACTACTTAACTCTGATCACTGCATCATAAGAGTATTGCCCAAGGTATATGGAAAGCTGCACAAAAGGGTCTTCTCCCACCTTGGAAAGAAAACACAACACAGATGCTATTCACATGACAACATACAGAATCTAAGGACAATGTTAAAAGACACAAACTGGGACCTGTTTACTGAACAAGCTCTTGACAACACAATTAGTAACATAACACATTATCTCAATTTCTGTCTTGATGTTTGTTGTCCTAAAGAGACAATCTTCTTAATTCGTCTAACTCAAAAGCTTCGCCGTCAAAAAGAAAGGTTATACAAAATGAAAAATAAATCTGGTGTTAAGAGAATAAACACTTTGATTAAAGCCGAATTACAAAGATTAAATGCTCTCTATAACCAGAAGTTTCTTTCATGTAAATCCTCATCTAATATGTGGAAGCTATTAAAGGAAATCACAGGTGGTAAGCAAATAATGAATGATACTTCTGTCGATGTTGATATGCTTAATAAATCCTTCATATGTATCCCTGCAGATGTTATGATTCCCAAATCTAATAGTATAAATAATGACTGCTTTTCATGTTTTAACACGAATGATGTCCTCAAGTGTCTTGAATCTCTCAAACCTACCCAGTCCCTTGGTCCTGATGGAGTTCCTGCTGTTATCCTTAAGAAGTGTGCTGACATCTTATGTTACCCATTAACTGACATTTTCAATGAATCTTTTTCCAAAAGTTTTATTCCTGACTCATGGAAAAATATCAAGGTTGTTCCAGTGCCCAAATCAACAAGTGGACCTACTGTCAAGTTTAGACCCATTGCTATTACCTCACCTTTTTTAAAAGTTATGGAAAGACTTATTTTACTTAATCTTGAACCGTCTTTAAAGCCTTTTAACGACCCCAACCAGTTTGCCTATAAACATAGTAGGTGTACCCTAGATGCCGCTGTAGTTCTATATCATAATATAGTCTCTAGTTTAGATAGAGGAGCCAAATATGTTCGGTGTGCCTTCCTTGATTACACATCTGCATTTGACTCTGTGCCTAGGTCTCTCTTGTTAAGTAAGCTTGCTGCAACACAGAGTGAGAGCTGGATAAATAAGTGGTTGTATTCCTACTTTTCTGAAAGGAAGCAGTACACTGTCTACAATGGAAAGTCCTCCACTACCTCACTTACTTTAGCTGGTGTTCCTCAAGGTGCCGTTCTTTCTCCTTTTCTGTTTTCTTTTTTCTTACATGACTTGCCCCATTCTGATGTAGCCACTTTTGTCAAGTATGCTGATGACCTCTCTGTCTCCATGCCTGTTAACTCTCAGTCAGACTGTTCCATATTAAATAACTTTCTCTCGGAAATTAGTCAGTGGTCCTCTTCAAACGGTCTTAAGCTGAATCCGTCTAAATGTCAGGTAGTAAATTTTACTTTCAGACGAAAAAGTGACCTTCAACAACTAGCTAGCTCACATGGTCCCACTATCATTGACGGCATAGAGGTTGAAACTACATCAGATGTCAAGTACCTTGGACTGAGTATCTCCTCCGATCTTTCCTGGTCCTCTCACATCTTGCTAGTGACTAGAAAGATGTTTCGCTTAACGTTCTACCTAAGGAAGTTTAGGCAGTCTGGTATAAAGAAGTCTTTACTTTCTCAGTTTGTCAATTCCTGTATTCTACCCATCCCTCTTTACTGCTCCCCATTAATCTTTCCTGGACTACTTAAGAAAGACTTTGCTTCGCTGCATAGGGCACTAAATGCTGTTAGTAGGGCAAGTGGGATTTCGTTAAACCAACTGGTTAACACAATTGTGGATAGACATATAATGTCATGTAAGAAACTAGCAAATTCTATATTGTCAGACCCCGAACACCCTCTCCATACGCAGCTCTCTCCTTGCATTTCATCTGGTAGAACTAGAAGCAACTATAGGAAGCTATATGCCAGGACTACCAAGTATAAAAACTCCACAATACCTTATCTGGCACAGCTGTTATGTGATGAGAAAACTGTTAGGCATGACATGATCAATTTACTGCGGCACTCTAACAAATAGTTCCCATTAGCTTTTGTTCTCCTTTCTTTGTTACTATTATATTGTTGCTCATATATTCTATTATAGACTAATTTTATATATCATTTCCTGTGGTGCATTGTTTAAATATGTGAATGCAATGCTATTCTTTTTTTTCTTTTATTTCTCTTTTTCTTTTTGTTGTTGTTGCTTTATATTTCTAAATCCTTATAAAATTTATGAGGTAATCAGATGCAATATTGTAATGAACGCTGAAAATTCCATACCTGTACCACAAATACTGTTTGGAATAAAGCCATTATTATTATTATTATTCCTAATAAAACAATCAATTTAATTGCATGGAGGATTTCATCATGAGCTGACATCAGTTAGAGAAACATGGGAAAACCTGGGAGTACTGGACAGCTGTTTCGTCCTAGTTTGGGACTTTCAGCAATACGCGCCCAGTAGGGTACAGCAGGTTGAAGATGAGGCAGTAACTCATCTAAGAAAACATTGCGAAATGGTCGCGCTATGTCGTGAATTGGCAGAAGTTAGAATTCAAGGACCACTGGATCGGGTCCCAGTGGCTCAATGGTCTACGAGCTCGCCTTGTAACCAGAAGGTCCTGGGTTCGAATCCCGGTGGGCACGTACTGCTGAAGAGTCCCAAACTAGGACGAAACAGCTGTCCAGTACTCCCAGGTTTTCCAGTGGTTCTCTAACTGATATCAGCTCATGATGAAATCCTCTATGCAATTAAACAAAATCCCTACCAAAACAATACTTGAAACAATCAATTTAAGGTCTTTTTCTGCTTATACAGAGTATCACACCTAGTCCTGGGTGTGTGCTTCTAGCTTTGAGTAATTTCTCTGACATGGATTCCGTAAGATCTATCATTATGGTCCGCATAACTACTCTGCTTACTTTTGCCAAGCTAGAATTATTGACTAATTTTGGTATCTTTTTCCTCTTATCTGTTTGTTTGGTGGAGCCTTTAATATCACTTTCACCTCATCTTCGTAAAGAAATACCAGAACTTCCACAACCATAGTTGCAAATGTTCGCCACCGTATCACAACGGGTTATTCCTTACGAAGAGCATTTAGAATGTCATAATGGTAACTGATGAGTTTCTAAGATATATCCTACCTGTGAATGTTGTTTTTCCTCTTATTTTAAAAGGTTTGATTGGGCTCTCAAGCAGCGCAACAGAGGTAATGATAATGATAAGTTCAAGTGATTTAGAAGTGAGTGTCAGGTAATTGAAAATCAAAATGGGTGGTAATGAATATGGAAAAGAATTTTGAGGTAGAAAACATTTCCAGGCAAGTATTTAAATAGACATTCACTTGGCAACAAGGATGATCACTTACGCCATTGACAACCATTTTTTTCCATTTTAAAATGATTTACAACGTTGGAATTCGGTGTCAAAAGTTTTACAAGTTCAACTAAACGTGTATGGTGACACTAAATGACTATAATTATAGCTAATTCTCGTATGTGGTTGTGTTTTCTGATCTGGGTGCTTTAATTATGAAGCCTTCATTGTCTTTCCAGACAACATCATCAGGTCAGATTCCAATACAAAGTGAACTTATTTGAAGTCTCCATGGGCGGTATAACTGGTTGCGAGTGGTCGATAATTTGTGTTAGTATCGACCGCATTATTGACTGGGAATTTCACTATTCTTGTCATGCAACTAATTCTTTACTATTTGTTAAATTTGATCTGTTAGTGTGTTTATTGATCACAGATTCGTCTAAATATTAGGCCTCTAGGAATCCCCTGGCAATTTTTGGTATTTCCACTGTTTAAATTTCCTATGTTTTCCCGATCACAATGGTGTTTACATGAGTTAGTATGAAGGGATATATTTCATTTCCTTTGACGGTTAGTTTCTGTTTTCGGACTTGGAGTTGGAGGAGACGCCCACGTTCACCAACGTAGTTCTTTTCACAGTTGATGCAATTTACTTTTTAGACAGTGGTAGGTCTTTTGGTTTGCAAAGTACTGAATAAAGGGATTGTGTTGGTTTGTGTGCTATATCTATTCCAAATGACATTAGTATTCTAGCCGTTATTTAAGAAATATTTTTCATATTCAGTAGGGTGAATTTTCTTGCGGTTTTCGAGGATAGTTTCCTGTTGGTATTTTGATTGAAGTTTAGACTTATATTGTTGAAATTGTAGGGTATCCACTTTTCTTGAAGACAGTTAATACATATTTCCCTTCTGTTCTCCTCATGACTAGAATGCTGCAGTGTGTTTAACTCTTTCGAGTAGCGTTTGTACGTAGTTTCTTTCATGTACTGTTGGGTTATTTTTGCTGAGTTTTCGGTCTGCATGGGCTGTCTTCCTGTTTACTTGTATTTCTAGATTTTCTTTGTTCATTCTCTTGATTAAGACGTTTAGGAAAAGAGTTTTTTGTTTGACTCTTCTTCTCTTGTGATTGTGATGTCTTCATCCAATACGTCGTTGATTAATTTGTGAATGCTTTCTAATACCATCCACCTGAGCTACAGAATTCCATTATTCCAATTGTAGTTACTTTCTTAATATGAATTTTGTAGGCATTCTAGTGATTGACAAACTTTCACTGGACATGCGCAGAAATAGTATGTCAATCAAACAAATGAGTAAGTGCTTTCAAATTTAATGACATACCAAGATATTACTAGGAATGGAAAATCAATCGAATCGATTATATTTTGAATATTTTATGCCTATGTGTTTATTGCTATATGCTTAACTACTGTGCTACCTTAGTCATAAGTTCGTTCTCATTTGTCTTAGGTTTCGTGATACATCCTGTCAATGATTCATAGTGAATTATTATTATTATTACTATTTTATCGCACAAAACACTATTTCTCTAAAGTTCAAATGTGTTTATCGCATATTCTTTTTTTAAAAAAAACAACAGTTGGTTGAAGGAACTCAAATTGGTCTTGATGGCCTTCAGCGAGCTTGCAGTTTTTGCGCTGAAGTGTTGATTTCTAACAACTCCAAGAAACCAGAAAATTTACTGTCTAAACATACTGTTCGATCATTAAATGCAGATAATGTTTATGGTTTAAAGAAAAATATGAGTTCAACAGAACAAAAACTGAAAACCACTTTGTCAGATTCTATTCCCACTAATGTTAGCCATCTTTCTAACCAAAATATCCGTATGAATAATAGTTTGGCGACTGTGTCGAATGCAAAAGGATTGCTAAATTCAACTTTACGCTTCCGCAGACAAACTGTAGATTCATTTATGCCGCGTTATTCTGTTTCTACAAATTCAACAGATGAAGGTACAGATTTATTTCCCGCCTACGTTTCAACAACATTTACTAGTGGCAGCCTTACTGGTGGTCTATCATCTCCACCTGAGTCCACTGAAGAAAGAAAACATCATACCATGGGATCAAGTGCCTTTCATGTAATTCATCGTACACCATGTAAAAAGAAAAACCTGATTTTAGACAATTCTACAGATACTTCTGTTCATAATGTTTCATTTAACAAGTTATCTTCGGCTCATTCATTCGAATGCTTACTCAGCAGTACATCAACATCAATATTTGATTCAGATCAAGAAGTGTTCCTCTTATGGTTAAAACTCTGGGCTAATTCTTCACAGGATTCTTCATTTCCGCTTACAGCTACTTCAAAGTTAAGTACTGTTTCAACTGAATCGTATGGTCTTGTGCATAGACATTCAAATGAGAATTTGACAAAAGACGACAGTTCGTCTAAATTGTTACAGTTATTTAAGTTGAAAAAAGAAACTGAGGAATTTTATTGTGTTTATGGTCTAGTATTGGTTTATTGGTTAGTCAATAACATTCCCGAATTGAAACGCTGTAGGTGAGTTTATTCTATTTCTTTTAATTTCATTTTCTCGGTGTAATTTATGTAACATAACTGTATTGTTGATAAGTATTCGTGATTGGAAATTACATATTTCAAAACTTCAGTATGCAGTCAAAAATTCTATACGCACTAGACACTTAGCGTTCGCGTCACGAAAAGCATTTCCAACAGATTGGAGATTTTTATCAACACCTGCCTTCACTCCACACCGAAGATCAAATGGCCAGGCAGAACTAGCAACAAGAAACTCAAAGAACAAACCACTCGAGAACCTGTTGCTCAAAAAATGTGATGAAGAAAACGCAGATGGATCTGGCACACGCTGAGGAGACTGTTGGTTGACGTCACGCTCCAGGTCATCGCTCGATTGGAACCCTAATGCGAAACGACGAGTTGGGCTCTGGTCGGAGGGTGACATGAAGGAGATGAGACTAATTAATCATGGGGCCGGCTAAAGTGGACCGCAGAGAACGGAGTGAAATAGCGATTTGCCGTTGAATCCCTATGTTCCACTTCGTTTTATAAACTGTGGTAGTTGTTCCGTAAATCTGAATAGGTAATTAATCAAGCCAAAATAAGTAAAGAGAGTAAGTTTGAAGCCACAGTCGAATACCTAAGAGCCTAATGCATAAACTAACAATCGGTTAGTACTGTACTAGAAATTTACAATTCTGTTAGAGTATATTTTAATGTTGGTTTTTTGTCTGATCCAAAAGGGGAACATTTTTCGGACGACATTAGGGATAAATACGTTTTTCTCAAATGTATCACAGAGATCCGGAGTAGTACAATGTTTATTGTATTCTACAATTAACAAAAACCAAAGCTACATAATCTCTGGAAGCGGGATTATTTCACATGGTCAGTCTTGTGCTAATTCAAGTTAGGTCTTTGAGGAAAAAGAAACGGAGCACAGGCATCTGGTCTAACATTGTGTGACTCTTGTTTTTGATTCAATTTTGATTTTCCCGTTGATTGATTGAAGCGAAATGTTCGGCCTCTGTATTGACATGTCAGCTTCTAGTATGGAGGCTTCGACGATGTCTGAGGATTAACTTGAAATAATTTGGACGATGGTGACTGGCAGTGAAATCCAGAATTCGCATTTCTCCCTATTCGGGATTCGTCAGCTGTATGTAGCTGCATTTCCAGTGAGTGATGGTGTTCCCAGTGAGACTTGAACCCAGTGCTCATCGTTTCAACGGGAAAATCAAAATTTAAATAAAAAAAATAGTAACTGTCACTCGTTGTACAAGAGGCGGCTCCTGCTACCCAAGTGGTCTAGTGGACAACGCTTTGCGGTTTAGGACGATGGGTACTGGGTTCGAGACTCAGTGGAAACACCATCACTCACCGGGGAATGCAGGTATGTACATTCAGCTGACGAGTCCCAAATAGGGGAAAATGCTCATTCTGGATTCCACTGTTATTTATCATCCACCAAATTATTCTATAACTCCGTAGTAATGACTTTTAAATTTCTAGAATTTATGACTGCCTCATCTTTATGCATTGTTTTGAGGGATAAGACAGAATCGATCAGATATTTTTGTTCACTTGCTAACGAAATGAATATTCAGAGAGTATCGCAAACTTACTTGTACTGTTTCACTCAATACTTTCTTTTCTGTGGATTATTTTATTACAGGATGAAAGGGCGTATTGTTTGTCAGAAATTTATGGATCTTGGTCTACTAACTGACCTACAGGACTTTAATTGCAAAGAATTTCATGATGATTTCACAATTTATAAACTGAAAGAGGTTAGTCCTACCTTGATATTCCTTTTGGTTTCAGTTCATTGCTTTCTGAATCGTGACATTCTACACTTGAGGTTTCTGAATGAATTCATCTCTTTAAGCGAAAATGAATCAACAGTGTACGACACTAGCGACATGATTTATCAATTGTAGAACTTTGTTCAGAAGTACAAGAGTTCACTTTCTGACATTTCAGAGAAAAACACTTAAAAGTAATGAAGTGTAGTGAAACTCCAACATACAGAAATATACAGGGGAAAACAAGATGATGATTGTTAAGGATTTTCAGATTGCATAATAATTAGGACTGCATACCTCTACTACACTGTGAAAGATTTTGAGCCATGTCGCCGACGGTCTCAAACCATCGATTCTTAGCGTTCCGAAAACCTTATCTGAATAGTTTAAACCTTTCTGCCTAGCTTAAACCAACATTCGATGATTTCATAATGGATCAGTTCCATTTTATCGTCTAACCACCCTGAACTCTTTTCCAGGCTAATCCTGTTTCAGTTGACATTAATTAATCTAGACAGAAGATGGCTGAACATGTGTAATTCATAGCTATCTCAATCGGTGGAGCTTCACAACCTCATCCACCAACTTTTCCTTCTAGTCTAGGGCACTACATCTAACCTCATTACTAGTGTACAAATTATATCACCTGACACGAGAAATTAAATGCAGGTATATATAGTCAGAAAAGGTTAGATTTCTCACATCTTCCATTTTCAATGACCATATTAGACAGCTGTAAAGTAGAACTGGCGAACTGCTGCACAATACATGTTTCTTTTGATGGGTAGCTGGATATGATTCCTTTGCCAAAGGTGATGCTAATCTGTAGGTAGAAAATGAGCCTTTTGTATCCGTGCCGAGATTTCCTCATTAATCAGTCTATTAGGGTTGATACAACTCTCCAAATAAGTGCAATGGTTGACACATTCATTCAACTCACTACTTATCTTTAAATTAGGCATTAGCTCAGACTTCTTTTTCAGCCATTATTTTGCATTTGACATTAGTAAATCGTATACTGAGATGTTTGCTCATGGTGTTCAGAGGATTGCATTTTGTCAGCGTTCTTACATAGAAGGACCATATCATGTGCATGTTCTAAATCAACAAGACTTTTCCTGTTATAATAAGTCAATCTCTTAAACATCAAATTAGACCAGAGTCACATCATCAGTAATGGAATTAAACAGGAATGATAACATTAAGTATCTGTGACGGAGACCATTAGTTGTTGTCGGTTCAGATAACAACAATGGGGAGGGATACATAACAAACTGAAATCAAATATTTTCAAGAGTTAATTTGTAGGGATTTGCTTCATTTCAAGTTTGATCACCTATTAATATCAGTTGGAGAACCACTGAAAACCATGGAGTACTGGACAGTCGTTTCGTCCTAGCTTTTGACTCCTCGGTAGTACTTATTCGCCGGGGTTCGAACCCAGGACTTTCCGGTCACACGACGAGGCTGTCTAAAGTTCTAGTGAGCAGTGGGGTCCACCTAGTCGGGCGTGAGGACAAATACTCGCCGATGACATTGGCCGCCAGTAGTGCTAAAATCCCGACTTGGTAGGAGTTGGAATTCATGAACCATTTAATCGGGTCTCGGTGGCCTAATGGGTTACAAGATCACCTGGAGACCGGAAGGTCCCTGGATGCGTACTTTTGAAGAGCTACAAAAATGGACGAAACGGCTGTTCAGTACTACCTGGGTTTCAACGGTTCTCTAACTGATATCAATCCGTGATCAAATTTGATAGAAATCAAATATTTCATTCCAACGATCTCAGTAGCGTTTAACTTCGTTGAAGAGGAAGGATTCTGTTTAGATGCAAATAAGTGTTTAGCTTTTCCTTTACATCTACTATTTTTTTGACCTTTTGCTCCGTGACTGGTATCACTTGAGATACAGTTGTAACAACAGAAGACAGGGGCCAGGCAATAGATCGTTTATTAAGGAAAATCAACACATATTTATAGATTTTAATGTACATTATTGTAGATTATTGTTAGTAGAAAATACAGTCTTTTGATTGGTTGTTTCTCACAGAAAGTTAACCTTGCATTTCTTTGTGGCTGTGTCAGATCATCCATATGCTAACTGTATCCGCCTACGCAAAGCCTTTGTTCTCATTTTCTCACCACCAATATTGGGGACATAGACATTGACGTCAATTACTGTCTACCAACTTTGACTAGCAGCCAGCTTTCACTACACAATTGTTAGCTAACTAAAAGTATCTTTATCACATTTATCGGTTAGTTTGACTGTTTATGGCTATGCATTTCTTCGTATCTCGAACGGTATTGAAAACCACTCTCCAGTAGTAAATTCTCAAAGCTTCATTGCTTTCTATTTAATTGAATTTGAAATTTTCCCGTCGATTGATTGGACCGAAGTGCTCGGTCTCAGGTTGACATGTCGGCTTCTTGTGCAGATGCTTCGACGATGTCTGGGCATTTGGTGGATGATGACTAGCAGTGGAATCCAGGATGCACATTTCGTCCTATTTAGGCCTCATCACCTGGATGTATTTATCATTCCCAGTAAGTGATGGTGTCCCCACTGGGTTTCGAACCCCAGCAGTCATCGTTTCAAACACCAAAGTGTTATCCACTAGACCACTTGAGCTACGAGAGTCGCGTCTTGTCTGTCATCATTCATTAAATTACTTCACTTTAAATCCTCAGACACTGTTGAAACGTCCTCAACAGGAGCCGAAATGTCAACAGAGGGCGAACATTTCGCTGCAATCAATCAACAGAAAAATCCAGATTGAATTAAAAATGATGGTCGTATAAACGTAAAAGTCTTAACAAATCGATTCTCAACTTAACAAAGAACCCTTGGAATGCTAACAATCAATGGCTGAAAAACCCTTATGGTATGGCTCTTAATCATCTCCAAAATTCTGAACAGTTTCACTAAGTGATTGCTAACTAGATCACTTGTTTTCGCTCGGCTGTTATTGTTTATGCTTTTTCAATATCAAAGATAGTGTATTAATCATTTTCACGTTTCACATTCAAATGAGTGAACTCATCAGTCTACTTTCATGTCTCTATTGTAGATTGATTCACACAGTCGATCTTATCATGCAATAAGCCCGAGAAGAAAGACAACAAATTCAATTTGTCTTAACAATGATTTACTTCGTCTTAACTCGAGTACTTATGGCAGTACAATTGGAATTGATGAACCTGACTGGTTATTAGAAATTAATGGTCATGATAATAAAAGCTCTGGATCTTCTACACCCTTTTTAATGGAAGGTTTTACTGATGGTGAATCAAAACCATCTACAGGTGAATTTGTTTATATTTGGCTACCAATTTTGCATTACTTTTTCTTCTTGCCTACTACTGGTACTGTCATCATTGTGATGAACACTCACTAAAATTTAACGTTAATTTCCTATGCAACTTTTTAAAACGTTTAGAGGAAGATTGGAAGAATGGGTGGGTGGGTTGTGGTACTCTTTTTGGGAACAATGCTCATTTTGTGTTATCAATAAATTCTTTTCAGGGAGAATAGGGGTTTTCAACTAAGAATTTTGTGTACAGATTTTTTCATAACTAGCTATTGACTATGAGTTGAAATAAGTGATTAAAGCTTCTAATTCAGATAGAAGTTACTATTGTCACTGCAAGACTCTTCAAACCGTTAGGAATTGATGTCGTACACAAACCAACAAAATCACTTTACTCGGCTGGCTCTATGTCAACCAAAAGACTCAACAGCGAAAGGAGATAAAACCAACATCATCTACAAAATAAATTGCAATGACTGCAACAAAAACACTACATTGGTCAAAATGGACGCCCTATTCGTCTTCGCATTCAAGCCTCTAGCTTGAAGCCCTATGTTCCACTGGAAACGTAAAGGATTAAAAAAAATTGTCAGTAATTGTGAACTAGTGTACAATCTTTTTATAAACACTATTATTTAATTTGACATTGCTTCCCTATATCGTTTTCCATGTTGCCTTCTGGTGTTCTGTCATGTTATTACCGATGTACCATTGTTTTTTGTAAATACTATTATAATAAAAAGTCATTTCATTCATTATAAAAATGAAAATGGTGTGACTGAGTGAATAAAGACATTAATTTAATCACTTGACTCTTTAAACCCTAACTAACTTCAACGAATTAGGAGTTGACTTATTATCAGGGAACATTCTTTTGGACTTAGAGTATGCGGATGATATCGTCCTCCTAGGTGGAGACTCTGACAAAATACAGAGTTTTCTGAACACCTTGAGCAGAAATCTTCGAATGTTCGTCATGTGATTGGCTCCTGTCGAATACACTATGATGCTACAGGACTAGTCTGAATCTGGTTTAAAGATAGGGAGTAAAGTGGTAGAGCGTGTTGACCATTTCACTTATTTGGGAAGTTGTATCAGTCCTGATGAAGTGATTGCCGATGAAATCTCAACATGGATACGAAAGTCTCGTGTGGCATTTGCCAACTTACATCATCTCTGGGCGAGACGTAATACCGATCAAACGACGTGGTGTTTACTGCACAGCAGTTCACTCTGTCCTTTTTTACAGCCGTTAGATATGGCCATTAAAAGTGGAAGGTATGAAAAGGCTAGCTGTCTTTGACAACAGATTTTCACGTTCCATCTCTCATGTTGAGTGGTATAATATGGTGAGTAATAATGAGCTTAGGCGTAGAGTGTTGGTAAGGAAGAAAATTCAATCGATGAGGTTGTGAAGCTACATTGACTGAGGTGACTAGGCCACGTGTTGCGCATACCGAACAACGACCTTCTTCATCCAACAATATTAGCTAACATAAGATTAGTTTGAAAGATAGTTAGGTTTGGTCAAATCAAAACCTGGTCTCAGTGTATGGATTTTTCTGACAGTTGGTTTGCGACACCTAGGGCGTTGTTGATTGCCTAACTGGGGTGGGGTCTTCGGAATACTAAGAACCGATAGTTGGAGATTATCGGTAATATGGCTCAAAATCGTTCTCAATGGCGCACATGCATGGACTGTTTGTGATCATCCATATCTTTTAAACCGTCATGTTTTTCCGTGTTACTATTCTTTCTCCCACACATTTCTACTCATTATAGTTCTTTTGATTATTTTTCCCTACCTTTGTTATACTACATGGAGTGTGGTGACTTGAGCTTAGTCAGTCAGTCTTGACTTTAAACTAGTCAGTGTTTAAGCTATTTGAATGTTATTGCGTCCCCTAAGATGTTAGACACCGTATTGTAGCATAACCCCGTAGAAAGTAATTACGGGTTTTAACCCGGTATAAGTTATATTTTTTCCGTCGGTAATATATGATTATTTGATGGGATATGAAGTTTCTAGATTAGTGGGCCATGTTATATGCATTATTTAACTTACCAATAATTCACTTACTAAATATATTGCTTTCGCCTTTTTATCCTACAAAATATTCAATCTATAGTTCCTTATAATGATTCTACTGCGACCAATTTTGAAGTTGGACAAGATGTTAGTCGAATGCGAGATTACAATCTTGAGGGGTCTGAATCACCAAAGAAATGGCGATATATTTCACAGTTAACTTCTGCTATCAGACAGGAATCAAATGCTTCAACACAACTTGATGCTAGTACACGAATAAGCAAGCAAGAATATATTTATAATATCAAGTGAGTTTTCCAACTCTGTTCTGTACTGTTTCTGATGCTTAGTGTTAACGACTTTATCAAGGTGATAGTCAACTTGGAATTTACAATATCAAAGTTTACATTTGATAAATTCATCACTGTTCTTCTCCATGAATGCTCATACGTTGCTAGATAGTTGAAAAGACAAAGAATTCGCATATGTGTGTATGTTAGCTGTAATAAGTGTATGACTAGTAAATCTAACTGTGTACAATTTTGGTTTAATTCTTGTCACACATGTGTTGATAAAATCAATTCATGGGTGTGGATTGAAGTTAGGCCAAGTTGTCTTTAATCCTACTATGCCTATTCAGACAGTATCGATTCCATTCGGTATGTCGAAACTCTGCTAAAACTTTCATTATATTTTAAAGATAGTTTTAGTGTTATCAAAATCGATTTTGTGACCAGATATTACAACAGCATGTAGACTTCTTTCTAGCTTTTTGAGTTCTGCTGGATTCCTTTTTGGTCGCATAAATATGCTGCAGCCTAGATTCGTTGTAGATTTTATTTCATACGTTTATTGTCCCACAGTCTGTGCATTTTGTTTTGTAAATGCAGTTAGAAAAGAAAGCTTGTGAAACCTTGTTCTTCAAGTGAACTAAGGCGGTTTATAATCCATATGAAGATCTAAAGAAAACTCAAAATCTTCAAATGGAATAAACATCCGACGAACTGCGTTCACAAAATAGAGGATTGTAGGATTGCGAAAGGCCGTTATACTGCATTTTTTTTAGAGAATCCTTTTGATTTTCTCCCTAGTGTGACTTGTATTATATCAGAATTGTACTAAACCATGATTCTGGGGGTAATTATTTCGGTCATATTTGGTACAGTTCTCTAATTTATGGACGAAGTTCGCCGGGAGTTTGTTTAATGTGAGGATTTTGTGTTTCCTTTAAGACATCAATACATTAAAAAGCATTCTAATGCACTTGAAGGATATGGTTTCACAAGATCCCCTTTTGAAGTTATAGTATCGATTTACTTTATCTATAAGTCTGACGTAGTCGATCTATGGTAGGGAGTAAATCTGTTTTGAAGTAGTCACTTTTATCACTGTACCTAGGTTTAGTGAAAATATTGTCATTTATGCGGGTGTGCGTAGATCTAGCTGACAGATCCCAAAAAGGATAAAGTCAGTGTTCTGGATTTCAGTATGGTGATGCGGATCATTGGCTGTAGCACTTGACTTCCAACTAGTGGTTCATGGGTTCGACTCCTGCACCATTACCTTCAAAGTGGGCCACTGGATGGTAGTATTATTAGCCATCATACACCAAGTGTGACTTATAACCTGGTAGATAAAAATATGATCCTGGTAACAGAGTTCTAACTGTGAATTACACTGCTCACCACCGCCAAAAAATCTATATGGAATTGAGAAATTATAGTAGTATCGAAGTGATTGTACAAAAGTGTCTCATGTGTTAGCTGTAATTGATCAATCCAATCTTATTTGTAAAGTAGTGTTTCACACAACTCTCTGTTCATAATATACGTCATATGCGAATTGCACTCTTCTAGGTAAAAATCCATCATGGTTCTTTTCATCTCGGAAACACAAAGTATTCAGACCACTGTGTGTCATGTGCTTGATACTGTAAATGGAAATAAAAAGCAAGTGTTTTCGCAGAATGGTGTGTCCTACTTAGTGATATTGAACGGCTGGGAATCACTCAAGTCAGTTGGCCTAAGTCACTAACCAAAATTCTCACGGTTTGAACTGATTTGGCTCTCTGAGACGAGTTAAGCCAAGCTCCAAACCTGCGAAACGGCTTTTCGGTGCTCAAATTCACTCTAATTTGCCTAGCAAGCACTACTAGTTGGCGTGAGGGATTCCCAACTACTCATATCAATGAGTAGTATATACTTCACTTTATGGTTGAATTTAATGCTTATATTCTTCCCGTATTTATTGTGAGATACACTGGTTTTAATAAAATATTTTTCTAATATTATCAGAAGTATAGTCGATGAATACATATACCAGTTGGTTTTACAAGATGTTCGGGATAATGCTTTAGATCCTTATTGGGTTCCAGTTTTAATCCGTTTGGCTTGGGATGTCTGTCATACCGTTCGCTTCGATTTACGATCCACTGGTATGCGTTACTTTCAGTTTAATCGGCAACAACAGCAAAAACAGCAACATTCAACGTCTAATGAAGCTGCAAACAATCACGCAGTACAAAATAGTCCGGCAAATTCTAATCTTTCTCGTAAACAAAATTCTTATTCACCAATGGATATCCGATATTATGTACATATTAAAAAGGTATGCTTATACACTGGTGTTGAATCATGTAAATTACAGTAATGAGGTATTTATTTCTCTTAAAATTTGAAAATAACTGAGTGCCATAGTTATATTATAACAGAGCATTTGATTCTTCAGAGGCAAAAATGCATTAATAGAGAGAAGACCATTAGTTCAGTGAAGAGTCTCTTTTTGGCGAATTCATTTTCACAGCTGTACAATCGCAAATATATATGGTTATTTTGTATGTGTGTGTGTACATTAAATTTGTCAAACGAAAATACAATTAGTAAGTTTTTGGTGGAGTTACGTAATACAAAAAGCGTTCAGTGGAATTGGATGTTGATATAAGAGGGTGGTAATAAAAGTGATGAGTTGTCACAAACGAATGTGAAAGAAGAGTTACGTAATAAGACGAATAGTTTAATGAAAGAGTTGTGCTCAGGGTGTACATGGAAACAGAATAAAATATGGAATTACGTAAGAGTTTTAAGTAGTTAGAAAAAACAAGCAAGTGTTAAGTCAAATCAACAGAATTGTTACCATGATAGTAGAAGTGGCTGAATAATTTTCTTTTGTATGCATAGTTCTGGTTCTTCTAACTGAATGGTTAGGGCTTCTGCAATGCAAAGAAGACGGAGATGTATTGTCTTTGGCAGGGCGACTGGAGAACACTACTCTCAGTGTTGCCGCGAAGAAAGTTCTTCTTAAAGAAGTGGAAATTCTCCTCTTAAGGACATCACTGAGTAGGTCACCTTTGAAGTTGAGGTTCATATAAAGTATCTTTTTTGGCACGGATGGTGTCTCTTGCTTTTGGATTTTCTGTTTGATGTTTTTGTCTATGAATCTTGGTGGATATCCGTTTTGTATGAAGATTTTTTTCAGGAAGTGTAGTTCTTCTTCCAGGGTATCAGAGCAGCAGATGCGTCGGATGCGAGTAGCAAGAGATTTAATTAGGTTTCTTTTTCGACTGATTGGTACCCAGCTGTAGAAGCTTGTCAGTTGGCCGTTCCATGTGCGTTTCACTATGGATGAACCTTCTTAAAGTTCCGTCAGCTCTTCTTGTAAGTTCAACATCAAGAAAAGGAATTTTAGATCCGTTTTCTATTTCAAGAGTAAACTTTGTAGCTGAATGGCAGTTGTTGAATATTTGTAGTAACTGATTAAGATCGTGACCATCATCACAGATAATAAAGATGTCGTCCACATATCTAGCATACAATTGGAAATTATCAATAGTTGATTTGAGTGGGCCATTCTCGAGGTTTGCCATGAAGCAGTCTGCTAGCAATGGGCCCAGTGGAGATCCCATTGCGATCCCATCTTGTTGTCTGTAAATAACATCGTTGATTGTGAATTGTACATTAAGTGTACATCTCAGTAATTAATTGTCAGCTCATACGAAAAAACCTTCATGACTTATTTTTTTGACATCTATGGAAAATTAACTTCACCAGCGGTAAATTTATCACTCGTGTTTTTATATATGTTGTTTTACCACGATCGATGATTGGAGTTCAAAATTCACAAGAATAACTGATTTGCTCAATATCTAGAAAACCATTACCTATTTCACAGTCTTTGACCAACTGAATTGCAAAATAGAACTTTTCACAAAAGGGCAGCAGTTCAAGTTCCCACGCTCCACATATATATATAAAGATGCATAAGTTATAATAAGCATAAAAATGTAATAGTAAATGGAATATCAAATTAAGGAAATTTCCACAACAAATTGAGGATCATTAGAACCTTGATGGCCAAGGTAAGGACAGTGTCTTAATTTGTGGATCCCAACAGCTCAGCAATATGTGGTAGACGAACTCTTAAGGTGAAATTAAGATTAGTTGGTATGCGGTAGACGACTTTGAAAGCCGCCTCGTTAACATCAATCTTGTGTTCTGTATCCACAAAATGAGATAGAATGGCGCTATGAATGGATTTTGTTTGTCCTTTACTTAACCACACAGGGTGATGTTCGGAAATCCGACGCTAAACACGCCTAATTGTACGGCCTATGTAACTGGCTCCAAAGGAGCAGTTAAATTTGTAGATACACATAGAAGAGGCGAAATTAGGCAGTTTATTATTTAAAAACACCAATATTGTTATTGACGACTATTCTAGAATATTCTATGTATATAAACATATATATAATAATATATAATTGTAGAGCCAGAAGAGGAAATTATCGAAAAGGATATTCTTTGCTCAATAATCGGAAGGGGTTAAACCGTCGACTAAACTATTCTGTTGCAAGTGATAAAGCAAAATCGCAAACTCATCAAATTCCACAACGATTATTGTCTGATATCTCGAAATCTGTGAAGCCTTGGAGTCTTGTATGCTCCCCTAATTAGTAATAGTCTTGAGTAGTTATGCGTCGGTGGTAAAGCGGTTAAGACGCTCGCCAACCATGCACATGGTCCGGTGTTCGACCCCCGGCTGACGCACTCCTTTACCTCGCTAAGCCAGTAATAAGACTGGTAAAGAGGGAAGGTTGGGCATGAGGCTAGCAACCCCATCATGTAAAAGTAAACACTGCTACAGAAACTTCAAACCCCTAGCTTGAAGCCCTATGTTCCACTAGGAACGATATATTATCACACTGATTTTGTGTCGTTCATTATTGTAAGTTATTTGTTTTCCTTTTGTATTATTTCCTTCTAGCTATTAGATAAAGATATGAACAATTCAAATATATTCTCTGGTACTATTTTTTCTCAACGTCCAACTCATAAATTAATGCCAACTGTTTTGAATAATCCACGAATACTTCTTTTAGATTCATCTATAAGTTATCAAAGGACCACTTCTAAAATGGCATGGCTGGAGTCTCAGATTATGCAGGTATGCAGTAGATAATTTTAAAGCTTTGATAACATCAAACAGTTAAATTTTATTTTCAAGAGTTTGGTTTGTAAGGATTAGATTTGTTTATACGAGTTTGACCACGGATTGATATCAGTTAGAGAACCATTGAAAACCAGGGAGTACTGGACAGCTGTTTCATCCTAGTTTGGGAATCATCAGCAGTACGCACCCACTGGGGTTCGAACCCAGTATAAACAAATCTAATCCTTACAAACCAACTCTTGAAAATTAATCTGATGCTCGCTAGTGACTTGCTACAGGACAGAGTTTCCTGGAGTTCTAGTGAGAAATCGTGACCAGTCAAGCGTGAGGATGGATGTCCCACCGATGACATTGGTTGGTGGTCGCGCTAAATCACGAATTGGTAGAAGTTAGAATTCATGGGCTGGTCATTGAATCGGGTCCCAGTGGCTGAATGGTATACGAGCTTGCCTTGTAACCGGAAGGTCCTGGGTTCGAACCCCATGTGGTGGGTGCGTACTGCCGATGATTCCCAAACTAGGATGAAACAGCTGTCCAGTACTCCCTGGTTTTCAATGGTTCTCTAACTGATATCAACCCGTGGTCAAACTCGTATAAATTAAATTTTCTATTAATTTTCGGTTGACTGCATATTTGTGTTTATCACATATATTGCTTTTTTTCCCTTTAGTGTCATCTCTCAATCATTAAATTTTCTATAATTTCTTACAGGAAGAAGAATATATCACCAACTGTGTATGTAAAATACTTTGTTTACATCCAAATATCATATTTGTTAGTGGGACTGTTTGTCATATAGCACAGAATTTTATTTTCAAATCAGGAATTATCTTATTTTCTAATGTGAAACAAGTAAGTCATGGAATATTGTATTTCAAATAAAACCTGCATATATATGTATTCATGTTTAGTGGTTGGATGTTTTATAAAAGCAATGACTTTTATTGCTTGTCGTTTTATGAGTGGAATTTTCCAAGAACAAACAAAAGCCTAAACAAATCAGTCATCGAATGTTATCTAATGTAACCGTGTTGCACTACTTAGTTTTGTAATCTCATTTCAAATGAAATAGGGACGTCGAGTTTAGACAGTGATGCCGTGATCATGAATACCGCTTGACTGCGCCAACAACATTTTATAACAGCTACCTGTTCCCCAGCCCGCTCTACTTAAACGAGAACACACAACGACGTGAGCCGAAAAGTATATTCCTATATCGGCCACAATAGATTTTTACACAATTAGTGTATGATTCGAAAAATCACCAAGGCTATGTCAATTAGTCTATAATCATAATCAATAAAATTGTGGGCGTTATTTATCGTAGGTGATAAAGATAACCAACGGACCGCAACAACAACCAGCACCAATTACTATCAAGAGGTTACCTCCTTCACTTGTCTAGGAAGCATCGTTTCAACTCTAGGCGGAGCGGATGAAGATTTTAAGCAAGTCAGAATCGGAAAGGCAAGATACGCCTTCATCAACCTAAAACCAGTTTGGAAATCTTCTGCACTCAGCATAATGAACAAGATTCGAATTTTCAACACTCATGTCAAGTCGGCCTTTCTATACGGGTTAGAAACTTGCACTGTTTGTCACGAAAAGGATTTCTAACAGGTTGCAGACTTTCATCAGCAGCTGCCCACCTCACTGGCTTGCTCCATACTGAAGATCAAATGGCCAGCCGGCCAGAAAGAAACAAGAAACTCTAGCTGTTAACAAACCCACCAAGAGCCGATAACTCAACAAATATGTAGGATAAAATGGAGATGGATCGGGCATACATTGGGGAAACCGTCGAATGACATCGCGTGCAATTCAGGCCATTGCTCGAGTGGAATCCCAATGGGAAACGAAGAGTGGGTTGTTCTAGGGTAACATGTAGGAGGTCGTATGAGGAGGAGATGAGAGATTATGGGCAATTGTGGACCCAGCTGAAGAGGACAGCAGAGAATAGAATAAAGTGGAGATGTGTTGTTGAAGCCCTATGTTCCACTCGAAACCCAAGGGAATAATAATAATAGTAATTTTCCGTGAGCTGATTCTGATTGGTTTATTTCCGGACTGACCTTAATCACCATATCACCAATAAAGGATAATCCATTGTTTTTCTGTTCATATATCAGCGTTTGATACATTTTCACTGGTATTTAAACTAAGGTGTATCTATAATCGTTAACATACAGTCACCTACTCCTGTGTACTACTCATTTATACACGAAAGCAGTTGTTACCTGAATAGCTAAGTAATAAAAAGTTGCTACTTTTTGAGCTGATTAAATAACGAATTTTAAACATGGCTAACAGTCTAGGCCTAAGGATTTTTTGCACACTGACACCTAGCATCCAAGGTGGTAAAAATCTCCATTTTTATATATTTTGGTCAGCTTTATTTTTAAAGTACAGGCTGTAATGATAAGTGATTGCGTACATATTTCTTAGTCTGTTTTGTTATTATGATATTATCAAAAATGGTTTGTTGCGGGTTTCAACTGATATTTGAAATCCATCCACTCTTGGTTTTGTTTCACTGTAGGGCACTGAAATGATTTATGTTTCCTGTCAACTGGTATGGTTTTGGTATCAGGTACTGTCTATTTCACGAATAAAGTTATGTAGATACGAAACAAAGACTGATCATAAATTATCTTAGTTTTGGTAAACGCTTAAGCATTGATAGATTGAATAGTCTAAAAGTCTACGACAACTGGACTTCAAACTGCTGGTTTGAATGAATGTTAGTGGGCTCGATCAAAAATGTATTACTTTTAGGTTTGATTCTTTGAGTACATCGCTAAAGAGGGCTAAACTGGCGGGTGTCTGTGGAAATAGCTGTTCAGTACTCCTTGGATTTCTAGTTCTTTAACTGATTTCGATTCTCCATTGAGACATTTCACTCATTTTTTTTCCTGTATTTATCCCTTTATTTCTGTATGTGTAGTCAGTGCTATATCGTATTGCTCGAATGACGGGTGCAGATATTTTAGATTCTGTTGATCGTTTAATGGGTAATCCTGCAAGGAAATCGGATAACAACCTTCAAAAATCATCGACACGTCTTGGTGTATGTCATCATTTTGAAGTGAAACAAATACATTTACCAGATAGTAAGTTAAATCTATTTTCCAATCTTTAATTTTCGCCTTTAGTCAGTATTACTGAAGGATGAATGCTTTCCTAAGAATTGTAACAAATTATATGTGTTAATTGTGAATAAAGGTCTAAAACTGATAACTCAAGAAATAGGAATGAAGAATATTAATTTTATTACCTCTGTTTACGTCAATTTTGTTTTTCCTGTTGATTGATTGGACCTAAATGTTCGACCTCTCTTGACAGGTCAGCTCCTATTACGGATGCTTTGGTTTTGGAAAAGATGCGTGCTGGGTTCGAGTCACGAGGTATTGCAGGTACACTCAAATGACGAGTCCCAGATAGGACGAAATACGCATCCCGGATTCCACCGTTAATCACCCCATTTCTATTCAATTTCATCATAGACGTACTAATGGAATTAACCCTAACTCACTTCAGAGACTCAGGGGTTGACTTGCTACCAGGGAATAATCTCTTTGACTAAGAATATGCAGACGATATAGTCCTTCTAGGCGAGGACGCTGACAAAATGCAGAGTCTTCTGAACACCTTGAGCAGCAATCTTCGTATGTTTGGCATGCGATTCGTCCCTGTAAAATGTAAGATGATGTTGCAGGATTGGACTACACCGACCCTTAGATTAGAAATAGGAAGTGAAGTGGTAGGGCACGTTGACCGCTTCACTTACTTGGGAAGTACCATCTCTGACGAAATCTCAGCACGAATACAGAAGGCTAGTTTCACATATGCCAGTTTACGCCGTTTCTGGTGTAGACGTGATATCCGACTATCGACCGAAGGGCGTGTGTACTGCTCATCAGTCCGCTCCGTCCTCCTTTATGGCTGGCTGTGAGACCTGGCCATTGAGGGCGGAAGACATGAAAAGATTAGCTGTCCTTGGTCATAAGTGTCTGCGTTCTATCTCTCGCGTGAAGTGATATAATAAGGTGAGCAATATCGAGGTTAGGCGTCAAGTGCTAGGTAAGGAGGGGAAATCAATCGACGAAACGGTGAAATTACTTCGACTGAGATGGTTAGGACATGTGTTACTCATGCCTGCCTAGTCATCGCCTTCCTCAATAGTGGGCAATGTTAGCCGATATAGGGCCAGGCTGGAAAAGAACTAGCGGTGGTCAAACTAAAACATGGCACCAGTCAATGAAATCTACAACAGTTAGTCTAAGCCACGTAAGAAGGTGTAGACTTCCTGGTTGGGATCCTCGGGACGGTAAAAACCAATGGTTGGAAACAATTGGTGATATGGCTCGAAATCGTTGTCAGTGGCTCAGATGGATCCACTCCTTGTGACTTATGATTTCCTATTAAACTGTTTTGTTCTTCGTTATTACTATTCCTTCGTCTCACACTTCTGTTTACTGTCTATATTATGCATTTCTTCTCCTTTCTTCTCTTGCTTTGTGTGCTACATGGACTGTGGTGACTTGAACTGCCGCACATATGTGCAAAGTTCTATGTCGAAAACCGACTGACTGACCGACTCACCAAGTAACTCTATTACCTTTAATTGTATTATTCATTTTGACGGTGATATTCGATAGTATTTGCAACACTAAATGAAACTGCTTAATGTAGCTGTCTTAACAAAATTCAATTTTAGAATTATCTGCTATATTGTTTGGTGAAAAGCGGTTTGCGGAATGCCTCCCTTTGTACATTATTTTAAATGGCGCTTTATTTCTTCTTACAGGAGTTGAAGTCTTTGTGTTTGATATTATATAAGTTGATCTGTTTCTAACTGCTTTAAAACTGTCATAAAATACATTTGTATTATATTGAGAGTATGATGGAATGAAGTCTTAGTAAAGTGTAATTAAAACTACATATCGTTAGCTATTTGTCTGTGCATCGGTGGTTCAATGGTTAGGATGTTCGCCAGCTACTCCTGGAGGTCCGGGTTCAATTCCCGACTGACGTACTTCTAAACCTCGCCTAGCTTACTAGACGGTGGTAAACCCTGGAGGAAAGTGAAGTTTGGGAGTGAGGGTAAGAACAACAAAACCGCTACTGAAATTTCAAGCTTAAAGCCCTATGTTCCACTCAGGTGACTGAGTTTCAACATAGGACTTTGCACGGAAGTGCAGCCGCTCAAATTACCACACTGCATGTTCCACAAGGGATGCCAAAAAATGAAATATAATAAAATAAAGTTAAAAGTGATTCTCGTAGCTCTTTTTACATGACTATAAGTATTTAACCTGTCTCCCCTTCTGTATCAATAGTTTCATTGCTTAGATTACTACCAGTGCATAGGTTGGGAAAGAGTCAATTTGACTGGTATCCTACAAATACTGATATCTTAAACGTACATTATATAATCTGTTGATGAATACTCCGTTTGCATTCCATTATCTACCACAAATCAGATGCTATTAAAGAAATCGTTCCCAAAGGTTGATTTGGGTTTTACTTCTTGTCCCAAGGTTGTTTCCTTCAAATGACTGTAAATTGTTTTTTAATTTAATCATGGACATCATTCAGCGTTAAACTTTTAAATCACCAGGATGTCAGATGGTATGATGATAGGCCACCACAGTTACTAATGTTCAGCAAATAGCCATTAATTAATTATTCATTTGCAAGTTCCATTGAATAAATGTTTTATTTTCTATGCTGTTCCCTCTTTTCTTTCCCTTTCTTTTCTAAAGATTCGACAAAATTTTTAACCTTCATTGAAAATAATTCAGGCGAATCTGGCATAGCTCCAAATCCCTCTGAGACTAATACACCTACAAATCCTATTCGATATATTACTCATGAAGCAACTGTTATTCTACGTGGGCATGATATTGCTTCAGTTATTCGTGCAAAGCGTTGTTTTCTATTTGCACTACGTTTATGCTATAATGCTCAATTAGAATTATCCTATTCAAATAATGATCATAATTTTTATCTATCTAATGTATCCATCAGTCAAGGAGTACAATCATCAAGGAATCGTGTACAATCTCTTCAGAAAACGTGTGTTGGATACAGTATTGACGATACATTAGTTTCTTCTCCAGTATTAAGAAAAAAAGCTTTGACTTTACCATCTAGTGTACTTAATGCTAATTCTACTGTAAGTTGAGCATTTTATTTATCCTAATAATTTTGTCAAACATCAGTGTATTGAAAACACCTACCATATGTATATATGCAACAGGAATTATGCTTAAGGCTGTGGTGTAGGTTAAAAGTAGATTATGCAAATCAGTCGTGTTTGTATGAGAAATAGCTTAAACATTCACCTTTTTTTTCTCTATACTTATTGCTCTCTCTTGTTAGCCTTTCATGTATCTACTTGCTCTACCATAGCTGTTATATCACACATATTAATACTTGAATGAATCGTTAAAGTCATGACTATTTTGGCATTTTGATGACTTTTATATTCTTATTCCCTTGGGTTTCACGTGTAATTTAGGGAGGGCTTCAACGGCACATAGCTATTTCACTCTGTTCTCTTCGATCTCTTTTAACTGACTCTACGATTACCCATAAGCTCTCATTTCCTCCCCCACACACAATCTTATCCACGTCATCCTAACGCCTTTTCTCATTCGGGTTCCATTCAAGGAACAGATGATTATATGAGCAAAGCTGTAGAAGACGATCACCGTTGTCGGTTCGTCGGCAGGGAACTCCATACGTACCACCTACATACTTCTCAGTCTGGCACAACTTCCCTACTTGGGCATTGAAGTCGCCTGCTAAAACGACTTTGTCTGAACGTTTTGCTTCTTGCAGCAAATTAGACAGTTTCAGGTAGAAGTCAACTTTTAATTCATCCGAACTGCAGTCTGTTGGGGTGTAAGCGGAGACTAGGGAAAGGCGACGACGGGTAGTGCTGTCTTTCCTTCTTTTAACGGACCCATTCAGATGGACCGCACACATACGACTATCTACTGGGATCCAGTCAAGAAGTGATTTTTCCGCCCTAACACTCAGTGCTATCCCTACACCTGCGAGTCCTCGTGAGCTAGCTGAGGGGTCTCCCGACAGCCTTAAAGTGAATTTTGCAGATTCACCTTGTTGACCAGGTGAGGTCAAGTGAATGACCACACTCGGGTCTTGTATGCATGTCTCCGAAACACAACATACATCCATGGCTCTAGATTCCAGAGTTCTTGTTAGTGATGCCTGTTGTCCGATGTGACAGATGGTCCTGACGTTAAAAGCTCCTATATGAAGTTGGCCAATAACCAATTTTACATTGATGAAAAAGATTTTTGATCACTCTACGTTTAGAGATAACGGCTGAGAAAAATGGTCACTGATATAGAAATTACTTATAAGTATGCTATTGAAGACAAACACTAGCGTTTATAAAAAGCCAACGCATTCTAATATTGGATATTTAGACTTTAATTCATCTCATCCGTTTTCTGTAAAGGTGGGCTTAGTTAAGTGTCTTAATAACCGAACAATAGCACTAAGTAGTACAACACAAAACCTAAATGATGAAACAAGACAGACAGAAGAGGCGTTAATGTTGAATAACTATCCTATAAAATTCATTAGGAAGATCAAAAAACGTCAGAAGCAAAATAAAAATAATGGTGAAACTAATAATGATAACATAAATAAGAGAGAATATAAGTCATCTACTGTTATACCATATAAGGAGGGAACATCTGAGACCCTACGTAGGATTCTCAATAAAGCAGGAATTAGAGTGGCATTCAAACCTACAAACTCACTCAGGCAGGACAAGCTCTGTAGGTTAAAGGACCCCGTCGGTTGACCCAATTAAACAAAATAATATAATTTACAAAATACCTTGCAATAACTGTGAGTTAAGTCAACTACATAGGTCAAACTAGTAGGTCGGGGGTAGTCAGATTGTCGGAACATCAGAATTTAGCCAAGGTAAGAATGGTTGAGCCCTCGAAGATAAGTAATTTAGAAAAACAAACTCATCAATTGCACTGCATGCATTAACACACAACCGCACAGTGGGGTGGCTGGGACAGAGTCAAAATTCTAAAAAGTAATATAGGTAAGTGGAGATGGAGACGGATTGATTACTGAACCCTGGTTCATCGAGTCTACACCCAACACATGCAACAGGAATGACTCATCACTGATACCGGAAATATGGAAAATACTATACTACTAATCAAATCAAACGATGGAAAATAATAGAAATATATAAACGGAGTTCGAAAGTTGTGTGAGTACCTTGATATGATTATGAGCGGCAATAAATTGTGGTCGAAACGTGTTCATCAATAAATATTACTGTACAACACTGTGAGACTTTATCAAAATAAAATTTTATCCATAATGTAATCAGATCACCTCGTCCAAACAAGCCACAAAGTTAACATTAAAGAGTCTTTCTCTATCATATATCAGGTATGGAATAAATTATCAAAGGCCTCTAGATACCGAACACTCCAAACATCAGAGGCTGTTGCACTTCGCCTAAATCAGCTTGAGGTTTGTGTGCAAAAGAAACAGTGCCAGTCAACCACTTTTACTACTCTGACCTGCTTTCGGACGTATAAATTAATAAATTTTGTGTTACTTCCCTTAATTTATCTGATATTTAGCTCAGTGTTATATTAATACACATTATCTCTCTCACTGATGCCTTTGAACTGTAATCTGCTGATACTATTGATTTAATATAATTTAGAAAGAACAATTCTGTGACTAACAATATGTCTTTAATTATTATGGTCATATAAATGTGTAGTACCTGATGACGAATTTATTGATAAGAATATTCTTTGTTCATTAATCAGTCTTGAATACTAGAAAAAAATGAGATTGGACTTTAGATGCTTGTTTCTGTTATTCCCATGATGATATATGTTACAATACATTTAAGTTCACATTCGAACTGTGGAACATAACTGTTAAATGTGGTCTTTATATGGCAGGCTAAGATATGACGGTAGAAATAGAACAACTCTAAAGGTTCTTTTGACAGTTACACCAGTGTTATTAGTATTAAGTTTGTGAAGCAGGTGATGTCATCCAACACATGTGAGAGATGCATAACTAGTCGAATGTTACTCTTATAACTGGTTATTTTTCTATCTATTCACATGGATAAACATAACATTATTATCTATAGTTTCTTAATCTGTCGATGTAATTACCTGGGTAAAATAAATTTTGGATAAAGATACTATTGTCTTCATCTAGCTATGGTAAAATCTCTTCACAAAATAACAAGTTTTCATTGTTTTCTAAACTGTTCACAGGATATTTGTACTGTATACTTTTGTGCACAATTCGTTACCACTGCCATCTCATCTAGCTTTATTTTATCACTTAGTTTCGGTATTATGCTGATCCTTCTATATTATTTATTAAAACACAAACTTCCTATATTGTGGGTATCAAAAAATGTGCCATACAAAATCTCATAGTTTGTGCGAGTGCTGGGATACTGCTGTCCGGATATCCGGACTGAAGTAGTTGGTTGTCTTAAGAGGCCATCCCGAGCCTTTGACTTGAAATTTGATCCACATGGTAGTGGTGTGGCGTCAGGAGCTACGTTCCCATGGTTGCTGATGATCACAGTAGGCTCATATATCATTTGATCTTTTGAGATTCCGCAGCCCATGTACACCACGGGTTTTTGAATCAGGGTTTTGCAACTCCCCTAGTTGTAAGTGCCAGACATTCACATTCGCCCTTTCATTTCTGCAAGAAACACCCTCGTTGCGTAAAAGCAGTGAATAGGACGTATCTGGTAAAGTCTATGACCGCGTGACCACATGCAAGGATTTCGAGGGGAAGACCTAAGTCTACTTACCCTCGACCGTACCAGGTCGTTTTTGCGGCAGTTGATCGTTCTAAACGTGTGTGATATTTGTTTGGCTATCTTTGAATGTACAATTATGCTTCAAGGTCAGTTCTTTTGACAGACATATTAAGAGCAGAAGGTAAAATGTGTTCTTTTCCCACATCGATAGTGATGTAAAAGTTTTCAAGCATTGGTTTGTAGGGATTTAGTTTGATTGGATGTAGGATTTCATCATGAGCTGACATCAGTTAAAGAACCACTGGAAAATTTGGGAGTACTGGACAGCTGTTTCGTCCTAGTTTTTTCCAATGGTTCTTTAACTGATATAAAAGTTTGTCAAGCACTCATTGGACCATTCTATCTTGCTTGTTAGCAAATTTAAACGTTGATTGTGATAAGAGTTTAAGAAACATTTAGTTAATTTGTATTTCAAGTGTATGATTGCCTACTGAAGGCGAATCGCAATACATGGCAGTTCTCAGCGTCATAATACGTTGTTATGATATGGTCATTGATTTTGGACAAAATAAAGAGGTTATATGTTTTGACTCTAGTTTACTTTCACCATATGTTTGGTTCGATGTCTTCACAAATAAACAATAGTTTTATCTGGCTTGCAGTACTAGACAGGAATGATAATGAAATATATTACATTGTTAACCTCCATCAAATGAAATGGCTGGAACTCGTTCATTCCATCCCACTGTTTATCACAGAAGAATGATGTCAGCTAGATTACAATTGGGAAAAAGAGAGCTTAGGTTGATCGTCTAAAAATATAGCAGATATCAGTATCATTATCAAACTGAACGGAAAGCAGTAGTTTGGGTTTGAGAGTAATCAGTGTAGAGATAAGAAATATTTGTGATAGTAAAGTTTTTAAAATCTTGATGAAGAAAAAGCGTAGGTTGTGTAACCATAAGTGGATTTCATTACTTCTGTTTTTCAATGTAGATTTGGTCACGCACCAGCACCAGTTAGTGATCACTGGACAGCTGTTTCGCCATAGTCTGGAACTCTTCACCGGTGCTCGCTCATGATCGAACCTGGGACCTGCAGGTTACGAGGCCAAGCGGTTTGACTACTTGGCCACTTAGGTTGGAATTCAGCAACATGTGAATTCTAACGAAATAACCGTCTGGTACTCCCTGTTTTTCAATGATCTCTAACTGATGTTGGTAGGCGATGGGTGAGTGAATGGTTAACGAGCTTGGCCTCATAATCTGAAGCCCCCTGGTAGCATCCCTGGTGCATAAGCACTGATGAAGAGTCACAGACTAGAACGAAACGGCTGTACACTGCTCCCTGGTTTTCGGCGTTTGCTAACTGGTTCTGGTTTTTGACGAAATCAGTCGACAAGGTTGTGAAGTTGCACTGTTTGAGATGGTTAGGACATGTGTTACTCATGCATCCCTAGTTATCGCCTTCCTCTATGGGCAATGATAGCTGACATAGGATGGATCAAGTTGAAAAAGAGCCAGTGGTGGTCAAACGAAAACAACAGTTAGTTTACGCCAATCACGTAGGCAGGTGTAAACTTCCTGACTGGTTGGGGTCCATGGCATGGCAAAAACCAATGGAGGCTGGAGACAATCGGTGATATGACTCAAAAGCGTTCTCAATGGCTGGTGCAGATGCATTCTCTCTTTGGGACTTGTCATATCTAGTAAAACTTTACTGTTCTTCCATGTTACTATTCTCTTTGCCTCACACTTCTGTTTATTATCTCTCTTTTGAATCTCTCTTTACTCTCTTCTCTTGCTTTGTGTGCTACAAGGAGGGAGTGTGGCAACTTGTACTGCTGCACATCTGTGCAAAGTTCTACTTTGAAACCAATCAGATAGTCAGGTTTTTGACGAAATCTATGTTGCAATTAATCTAAACCCCTACAAAATCCATAATGTAAACTTCTGTTTTTGTCTTCTAATACTTTCCCTACTGTTCACACACTGCTATGCCTATATCAATCTTTAGTTTTTGTCATGCTAATGTTTATTCACGTTTTTGCTTGTTCTCGCATCATATTTATAAACGTAGTTATAGATGTTCTTTTTTTCTTCTAAATCATACAAGTAATGATATCTGTAATTTTCTCACTAGAATTTTAACATTAATCCTGCCAGACAATTCGATTTATTTTGTTCTAATAATTTATTCTTTGCTTGTAGATAAATGAGCAGATTATTGGTGCTCAATGGAATGAATCAGATGGTAGTGCGTGTTCAGATTTAGCAATCTATTTAAATGGACGTCTTTTATCAGTTTCACCGAGTGTTGAATTCCGTTTACCGTATTTAGCGTCTAGAGAAGGTGAACTATCCTATTTGTACGCCTATTATACATATGTAGTTGATTGGTCATTTGGACGCAGATTGAATGATTTAATGAAACGCAAACTGAAAGTATGTCTTATCTCTTTTTCATAAGTTAAATATCTTGTCATTTTACAGTTTTATGTTTTGGTAGAAAACTGTAGATATGATGGAGAAGATTTGTAGCTCAGGTGGATGATTTTGATGTGGTTGTGTTCTCTGAGCTGGATAGTTAATTTGCGAAGCTTTCATCACCCTACTAGGTGACATCTTCAGCGCATACTTCAATTTGAAGTGAGCTTCTACAAAATAAATTGTAACAACTGCGAAAAACACTACATTGGCCAAAGTGGACGTCCTCTTCGTCTTCGTATCCACGAACATAAGCTAGCCGTCAAAAGACATGACATCCACTCCCTCATATCACTACATACAGACAACCATGGGCATCAATTCGATTGGGACAATGTTCAAATATTAGACAGAGGAAACAACAAGAATGCTAGAGAATTTTTAGAAGCTTGGTATTCCAGTGAATCATTGATCAATAGACACATCGAGATTGACAAAATTTATCAACCGATAAGAAAGAAACCTCACACACAAAGGGTCAAAGTTCAAGTCAAAAAAACAATCAGTTCCAATACAAGTAGCCTAGAAGGTGTGAAAACATACAAAAACAACCAATCACGTCCAAGGTCACCAGGAGAGATGATTAATAAACTCGTGGAGAAATCTAAAAGCTCACTTCAAATTGAAGTATGCGCTGAAGATGTCACCTAGTAGGGTGATGAAAGCTTCGCAAATTAGCTATCCAGGTAGAAAGCTGTCTCTAGCATCTGAAATCAAATACAGCTTTCGTCAGTGATGTAGCATTACTTAGCTTATCCTCCGTATCACATATTCATTATTTGATTGGATTCCACTATTTCTAAAACTGGGGTCGCTTTCCAGAATTATTTATGAAATTAATAACATGATAAGTCTGATTTTCTTGAACAATAAATGCCATTTAGGATTTCAGAAGAACTGCTATTTTTTTCAGGAAGTTTGGTAATATAGCAAATTATCTTGCTGGAGTGAGGACAAATACTCGCCGATGACATTGGCTGGTGGTCGCGCTAAAATGACGAGTTGGTAGAAGTTAGAATTCTTGGATCAATCGGGTCCCAGTGGCTGAATGGTATACGAGCTTGACTTATGACTGGAAGGTACTGGAGTTCGAACCCTAGTAGGTGCATACCGATGAAGAGTCCCAACCTAGGACGAAACAACTGTCCAATACTCCCTGGTTTTCAATAGTCCTCCTCTAACTGATATCAGTCCGTGGTCAAACGTGAAAAACAAATCAGATCTCTACAAACCAACTCTTGTAAATTACTCTACCCTGGTTTCACTTCCTCTTTTCCAGATGTCTATATTTATAACAGGTCGACATGCACTTTTTATTGACGTCTTATATCACGGTTCATACTGTCGTCTTTTGTCATATCGACTATCAACAGTTCAAGAGGATCAGGCAAGTGTTTCGTCCTAGTTAGGGCATCTTCAATGGTCGCTTTATATCGCGAGTGGATTGAAGCTAGGAAACCTGAATCACTCAATTCTTCACAGTTGGATACATAGTAACATTATTACCTCAAAATCTGGCATTCATGAACTTTTTCCGTCATAAGGATGTAAGTGCTGTCGACTAAACAGTCTATAACTGAAGTGATTGCTTGGTTTTTTTCTGTTCTCCTATTGATATCACTTTATGATGAGACTAACTTTGAAAAAAATCGATTTATTTTCTCAACTTTCTACTTATTACATCATAGGTTGTGTGCAGTGAATTGAAAGCATTTGAATACCATCGTATAAATGCGAAGGTAAATAATCACAGTTTAGAAGACAGCAAAGATATTGAATTATATCATCCATTTACAAAACGGAATTTAGAAATTTCTGCATCTAATAAACAACACAGTCCGAAATCGGATCGTTATAATTCATATTTTTCTGATGAAGATATGAAAAACACCTATGCACTTGATGGAATAATCATTTCTAAAACACTTACATCATCTGATGAAGCTTTGTATACTGATTATAAAGCTCGGGCGTATATGAATTGCGTTGAAAAAAACAATGGAGATGGTTCTCGTTCATTTCCACGTCTTTGGGCTGGTATAGGTAGTATTCTATCTGGTCATTGGGATACATTATTTAATGCAGAAAAGTTTAAATCATTGAAATCAAAATTTTTTGGTTCGTCTACAACAACTGCTGGTTTTTCAGCTAATTCTGGTGTGCAGCTTTCTTCTGAATCCGAAGGTATAAAAGTAAGTGTTATGTGTTGTTTTTAAGTGTAGTTTCATCGATTTCGAATTTTCTATTTCTTTGTCAGATACGAGACTCTAATGAACAGTATTATTTCCTGAATAACATTACATCTTACAGTTCATTTAATAAACGAAATAAAATAACAGGATTTGGTTCCATTACTATGTGCTGACAAAGTGAATACCCCTTATTTACATATTTCGACGGGTTTTATTACTGTTCGAATAACGCACAAATCATGGAAGCAGTTTGCTTTTCGGATAGACTTTTTGAGGCTGTTTATTACCGCAAATGTCCCGAACGATAGCTAATACCTTGATATGATGGTCGGGCTTGCATATTGCAATGACTCAACAAGCTACACTGCCTGGAACTAATGTTCCTGCAGAACCTACCATTCCAGATAGGTCGTCTGGATAGCGGTTAGACGAAAAGTAGTTACCGTCCTAGTGTTTACAATATGTTGGGGGGTCTGTAGACAAAGTCGTACCTCTGGGGAATAGAAATTTAATAACAGTAAGATATTTCCCTCAGATGACCAGCGTACCAGCTATGCTCCTTCTACGCTCCGGAGAGAGAGGGAGTTAGAAATTTCGACATCCCGACTTATCATATGATGATCCGTAGCCGGCGATAAGATTTAGTATGGACGCAACTGCAAAATCGACTTCAGACAGACCATGTGACCGTCCTTAAGCGGTTATCCACTGGGATCTACAGTCATGCAACACTAACGCTCCTTCTGTTTCAGGTAGCCAGAATTAGTAACTGCCTATACACCTCCATAAGCCCACAAAGCTTTCCTGACCATCACACACCTTCATCTCCATCACGTTCATCATCTTGCTTTCTTCCTACTACCAATACTATCCCACAGACAGCCCTGTCTAACCTTCTGTTAACTATGCGACTGCCAATAATAACGAGAACCGGAAAAACACTACTAATAGTCTCTTCAAACCACACTACCAACTTCATATTGGGGCATTTAACATCAGAACCCTTTTTCAAATTGCACAACAGGTTTCACTAACCTAACCAGAACTCTGGCATCTCGAGCCATATATGTATGTTGTGTTTTGGAGACATGCATACGGCGACTTTTTATTACTGTTTCAATAACATACAAAGCATGGATGTAATTTCCTTTTTTCGGATAAACTTTTTAAGACTGTTTAATACAGGGAATGTAACATAATACAATTTCTATTGTGGATTGCTGGCAGTATATACCTGCTTATAATATTTCCAGTGAGATAATTTTGAACCGATTAATCATCTGTCCATGTGAACTACATGTGTACTACCGTTCATTTAATATTTCCCTTGTCATAAATCAGAGATTAGATACTAATTGCAGGTAAGCGTAGGGGATCATTGTAGAAAATTATACAATGTTTGTTCAGTTAAAACTGTGTTACGTAGAGCTCATCATTGATCAAATGTTTGTAGGGACTTATGAGCATATCTTCTAAAAGGCTATACATTTCTCAGATCCTGTGTAATTTCATTATTTGTATAGTTTTATATCATCAAGTTATTTTTTATAGATGGTGTTCATTATAACTGTACATGGTGGTGAAAGTATGGTATAAATAAGAGTGAACAAGACAGCAACTTGGTCGTACTTTTAAATTACTGAACTTCTTGTTTCACTGGTAAATTCATCATGATAAAGTCGATATGTAGGTATCTAGTATGTTAAATCTTTCAGCTGTAATGAATTCTGTATACTTCACTTATGTTCTGTTCGGGTGTAACTAAGCAACAGTAACCTAATGATCGAGTAGATGTCAGATATATTTAAAAATCTGTACAACTTCGAAGTTATACAACCGAAACACGAAACTTTCTAAAGGTGCTTTATTGATTTTTATATTATCGATGGTACTACTCCAAGTTGATTTATCTAGTTAGTCAGTTTCACTCCCCATTCATCATTCCACTTTTTAACTCACAAGAAGACTATCAACATGTCATTTTTTTTCTCTTCTGTTTTCTATTCTTTGTAACAGCGTTTACGACGCAGTATTCTAGATCCACGTTCATATCAATCTCTAAGCTTTTTGGCATTATTATTTACACCGAAGTGTATTATGCGACCAGAACCCTGTGTCCCGCCTATAATAGCTACAGTGGAGTTTTATGGTCAGAGTGATTTACCGCTTGGATTATTTTTGGAAAAGTTTTGTTTTATGTAAGTTTCTATTTTCTTTTAAATTACCTGTATAGTTAATTTTTTTAATAATTAGGTAGTTGACTCGCAAAATCTATTGTTAAGTAAACGAATTCATTTATCGAAGTTACTTTGAATTCCCAGTTGATTGATTCTATTGCACCGAAATGTTGGATTTTGTTTTGACATGTCAGCTCCTAGTGCAAATGTTTCGATGATGCTTGAAATTATCTGAAGCTCCAGTCAGTGGCACTGTTCCCACTGAGACTTGAACGCTAACGAAATCTCAGTACTGATACAGGGGACTAGTTTCATATATGCCAGTTTACGCGGTCTCTGGCGTAGACGTGATATCCGACTATCGGCCAAAGGACGCGTGTACTGCTCATCAGTCCGCTCCGTCCTCCCTTATGGCTGTGAGACCTGGCCATTGAGAGTGGAAGACATGAAAAGATTAGCTGTCTTCGATCATAGGTGTCTGCGTTCTATCTCCCGTGTGAAGTGGTATAATGAGGTGAGCAACATTGAGGCTAGGCGTCGATTGCTAGGTAAGGAGGGGAAATCAATCGACGAGGTTGTGAAGTTACGTAGATTAAGATGGTTAGGACATATGTTACGTATCCTTAGCCATCGCCCTCCTCCACCGACGGGCAATGTTAACTGACATAGGATTGATCAGGTTGGGAAAGAGTTAGTGGTGGTTCAACCGAAGCATGGCTTCATCAATCAATGAAATTCACAACAGTTAGTTTAAGCCGGCCACTTAGGGAGGTGTAGACTTCCTGACCGGTTGGGGTCCTCGGGACGGTAAACACCAATGGCTGGAGACAATTGGTGATATGTCTCAAAGTCGTTCTCAATGTCTGGTGCAGATGCATCCACTCCTTGTGACTTATAATACCCAATAAAACTATATTGTTCTTCGTTATTACTATTCTTTTTGCCTCATATCTCTGTTTACTGTCTCTAATTCGCGTTTCTTTTTACTTTCTTCTCTGACTTTGTATGCTGAGTGAAGTGTGGCGACTTGAACTGCTGCACATCAGTGCAAAGTTCTATGTTGAAACCAGTCAGTCAGTCAGTCAGAGACTTGAACTCAGTACCCATCGTTTTAAACACTAGAGTTACCCAGTGCACCACTGGGCCATGAAACCTATCTCTTGTGCAACTGGTGCTAGTTGCTATCACTGCGTTGCACTAAATACTGGAACACCATCACTCACTGGCAATGTGGGTGCATCCAGCTAACGAGTTCCAAATGGGATAAAATGTGGGTCTTGGACTCCACAGGTAGCCACCACCAACCAAGCAAAGAAAGAATTCATGTTATAAGACGTTTGGGAATTACATATTCTTACAACTGATCAGTGAATTAAAAGTGCTTGTGGTTGTATTTTTCTTTGAAAGGACCTCTTGGCTCTAACTCTTTTGGTATTGGTAGCCAGATGGTTTTGTTCGAGTTATTCTGGTCCTAATGGATGATAAGTAGTGCCTGGTCCATAGTTCTCTTGTGTCCCGTCTTCAACAAGTTATAAAGTATTGAACTGTCTGAAGTTCTTATTCTGGTCTTGTATATACACATTCTGTATTGGCCTTAGGTACTGAAAATTCAATCTTCAGGATATGAGTCCATGCAGTTCCTTCCACTTGCGTTAGTTAAATTGTTTAAGTGATCAATCTATTCTTCTACCTGGATGCTGCTTCCGAGATTAGAGTTTAATAGTAAATTATTCACTCAGTATTGGTTATTTAGTTGTATAATAAATAGTAATACAAGTAGCAACAATAATAGTTTGTTCCCATATGGTGGCTTAATTTGATATTGTGTTTGTTATGTTTTTTTCTAGGCAACAACAATGTCGTAATCCGCTATGCAATGTACCAATGTCTGAGCATATCCAAAGATTTATTCAAACCTCAGGATCAGTGCAACTTACGATAAGCAAGTTGACACAAGATCCATCTCGATCAGATGCTGCCTTAGGAGATCCAACAACTCTATGCAGTAGTAATGATTCAAAATCACGTCCTAAGAGTCGGATACTAATGTGGTTATTCTGTCCAATATGTCGAATGAATTCAGCTACCAGATATATGTCTGCTGATACATGGCATTTATCATTTGTAAAATTTCTCGATATAATGATTAACAGTTCTAATGATTGGGCTCGTTGTGGTATGATTGGTAAAAATTCATCATATCCGCGTAGTACTTCAGGTAATGAATTGGATTTAGTTGAAACACAGAAGCCGTCGTCACCTTCGACAGTTAGGAGTGGAGGTCAGAATATGGAATCGGTGATAGATTTCAGTTGTACGCATTCTGTTCATAAGTGTTTGCAGCATTGTTTTTCTTTCGATAGAAAATTAGCTGTTTTCAAGTAAGAAATTAATAGTGTTATAATTTTGTATCTTTTGTGTTGTTGTCTAAATTCTGATCCATTTTTATATCTTTTTTAATATGTTTGTAGGCAATAAGTTGTGTTTGAACTAATATCTAATAAATAATGATGTCATTATTGATGTTAGATGATTGGAGGCAGTCGGCCCTGGATCTAGATTTCATACTTACTGGCACTCATCAGCGTGGCATATCCGCAACTATGAAGGAACTGATATCCCCTCTGAGATTCAAAACCGTGTCAATCAGTATTCCAGTTAGAGACCTTCTCGCTGAGTTATTCCGGCTCACGATCGATCTCCTGATGTACAGGAGTACCATCACCAAGGATTAGGTGCATGTCACTGGTCACTCTGTAGTGACCAACCAATTTAATTTATCTCTGTATCATATATCTGACAAACAAAGTAACATACAAACCTCAGAAGGTTCTCTCTCATGTTTGGCTTAACACATAATAATCTTTTCCTGACTCACCTTCATAATTTTACCTGGTGGTTTCCAGTTTAACAGGAAATGGGGATAGACTTTGTAACTGACAGACACCGGGTAAGAAGTTTGATGTACGACTTTCAGTTGTGTGAGTGCCTTGATATGATTATGAGCAATAATTTGTGCTCGAAACGTTGTCATCAGTAAATATTACTGTATAACACAGTGTGATTTTATCAAAATAAAATTTTATCCATAATGGAGTTATACTCTACCAAAGTGCCCAAGTTTTATCCTTATATCAATAACGACTTTCAGATGCTTGGATAGTGCTCACACACAGTGCGGATTAAGCGTGAATAGCTTGTTGATGGAGAAGGTTTGTAGCTCAGGTGGATGATTTTGATGTAGTTGTGTTCTCTGAGCTGGATGGTTTATTTGCGAAGCTTTCATTGCCCTACTAGGCAACATCATCAGGGCATACTTCAATTTGAAGTGAGCTTTTGGATTTCTCCACGAGTTCATTAGTCATCTCTCCTGGTGACCTTGAACGTGATTAATTGTTGTTTTTGTGTGTTTTCCCACCTTCTAGGCTACTTGTATTGGTGTTGGTATTGATTGTTTCCTTGGCCTGATGTTTGACCCTTTGTATGTGAGATTTCCTTCTTATCGGTTGGTAAATTTTGTCTATTTCGATTTGTCTATTGATTGACGATTCAGTGGAATACCAGGCTTCTAAAAATTCTCTAGCATTCTTGGTGAGTCCTCTGTCTAATATTTGAACGTTGTTCCAGTCGAATTGTTGTCCGTGGTTGTCTGTATGCGTACAAACTTTAGGTCAAGGAAACAATCAATACCAATACCAATACAAGTAGCCTAGAAGGTGGGAAAACACACAAAAACAACAATTAATCACGTTCAAGGTCACCAGGAGAGATGACTAATGAACTCGTGGAGAAATCCAAAAGCTCACTTCAAATTGAAGTATGTCCTGATGATGTTGCCTAGTAGGGCGATGAAAGCTTCGCAAATAAACCATCCAGCTCAGAGAACACAACTACATCAAAATAGCTGTGTTGTTATGGTTGCAAGACGGTAACAATTAGAAGGTGTTTCTGAAGTTAGCCTTAAAACTGAATAGATTAGAATTTTATGTTCAAACCAATGAGTTGTACTAAAGTCACCTATCTTAAAGAAATTCTGCACAAATTTATTTTAATCTACTGGAAAATCCATTCATGTAGAAGGACATTTTACCATTATTAATTGTTTTTATGTAGGATTTTTAAAACTTATTAACTAATTTATTTTCATGTGTTATTTTATCACTCCTTTTATACTGGCAGATATCAACCTGTTAATGTTTATGAAATTGTAATGCCTCCTAGCGAGATTCGTGTTTTCCCAGCTAAAATCAATATCCCAAAGTTGGACAGTTATAATAATAATAATAGTTCTGTTACGCATACAAGGCAATCGTCTGTTGAAAATAAGTCAATTACAAATGATAGTACATACTGTAACCGTACTGAGAGTGCAGATGTGACTAATCAATCTCATAATGTATCAAACAGACAAGTACAGGAATCGAAAATTGGTACTACTGCTACTACTACAACTACTAACTTACGCAAATCAGTTGCTTTACCAAGTTATCTGTTTACAGAAGCATCTGAAGTTTTAACAAAGTAAGTCAATTATTTTTTCAGCCTCAATGTCCTTTTATTTATTTTTCTTTTGATTACGGCTTGATGCCACACCGTATTTTCAGTACAAGTATGGAATTTTCAGCGTGGATATCGGTAGCCCAAATTTTGCAGGCCGACCATAGATATCGGGTGTGCGTCGGCAGGGGATCGAACCCCGGACCATGTGCATGGTCGGCGAGAATCCTAACCACTGTGCCACCGACGCATTCTGAACCCGATTCAATGTTTACAGACCGTAGTGTAAAGCACAGGTCATTAATGTTAACGTGTTGTTTACTATAAATTATTATACCCTTTGTTTTCTGAACAGAATAGGGCTTTAGCAGCACATTTCCGTTTCGTCCTATTTCCTGCAGTCTTGTTTAGCTGACTGCGTGATTGCTCATAAGCTCTCATCTCCTCTTCACGCGATCTTCTCTATATCATCTTCGAAAGCTCAACGTGTTGTTTTCCACTCAGTTTCCACTTAGGGGCCTGGCGTATGATGTCACTCAATGGTTTCTTCAGTGTGTGTCCGATCGATCTCCATTTTTTTCGAAATATTTATTGTTGAGCAATAAGTTCTTGAATGATTCATTACCGGAGTTTTTTTGTTGCTAATGCTTCCTGGTTGGCCATCTTGTCTTCATTGACCCAGTCAACGAAAACAGCTCTGTATGAAAGTCTACAGCAGGCTGTTGGAAATGCTTCTGGTGGCACGCCAAACTTGTAAATGATATAGAAGCATTGATTTAATATCCATGTTGGAAATCTGGCTCTTTTTCCTTGTGCTGAATGTAGCAGATTTCCACACTAATTTTAGAATGATGAAAGTGTATCTTGCCTTTCCCATTACTAGCTTTAGCACCATCATCTGTGCCTCTGTCTGCAGTTTAGATGATGCTGTCTATATGTAAATGAAATAGGTGACTTCCTTTAAATTTCTTTCGCTGATAGTGATTGGTATTCATTCTTGTTGGTTAGTTATCTTCATCACCTCTGTCTTCTCTCTATGTTCACTTAAACTTCTGTTTTCTCTGCTTCTTCTACCAACTTGTTGGTTTTCGTTTGTATGTCTTCGAGTTTATGTGGTTAGTTTTAAATGATTGCAGATGGTTGACAGGAAGTCTTGGGCATAAACTATGGTGTTCCTTACATCAATTAGTAATAGGTATTTTGAATACTAAGCAAATCAATTTTATAAACACCATCTCATCATTAGGTAGATGGATAAATTAGTTTTGGTAGAGCACTCTATAATTTATGCTTAAGATTAAAACAAATCAGTGATTGTGCTAAGAATGTGTATGTGACAAACTAAGTGTTGTAGTTCCTAATATTTGTGTTTCATGACAGATTATGGTGAATGCTTCTGCAGTCATAGTTGTAGAATTTTCTACCGTAAGCATTTACCTTGCAGGGAATAACTTAGAGTTTATTTATAGTCACCTATACCACATTTTATCGAATTCTGCTGAAAGTATCTTCACTATTTCTTATTGCGAAAGCGTCGATATAGAACAATCAGTGAAATTAGGCATTTCTAACACTTTAGGTGTGTCAGGTGATGACCAGTGTGTGACTAACTGACTTATCTATGTAGAACTCTGTAAAAAGGGGCAGCAGTTCAAGTGACCACAATTCATTGGAGTAATCCAGTGAGTCATGTCACCAATAGTCTCAGACTGCCGATCCTTAGCATCCCAAGAATGTCATCTGAATGGTTTACACCTCCTTACATGATTTGATGCAATAGCTAATAACGTCATCATGACTTTGTTTCTTTTTGTCATTTGAACACCTTTTTCCAGCCTAATCCTATTTCAGTTAACGTTTTAGGCCAAGAAATGAGGTACCTGGATATGTGTAATGCATATCCTAGCCATCTCAACCTTATTGATCGACTTCCTACACTCAAGTAACACTTTTCGCTACATCTCATTATAATTGACCATACTGCACCGTACGACAGATTAAACGGAGGGTAACGATGACCAATCATCGCACTTATTTTTACTTTTCGAAGAATTTTCTTACTAAATCTTTTATGAAATGTTTGTACAAACTAATTCTGATAAAAAATTGTCTTATTTCTTTCATAGATACTATACTATACACACTGTTATTAAATGTCATATTGCTAATCTACAAAATGAGACAATATCTTGTGAATTATCTGCCATGCTTGAAGCTTATCTAAAAGTTCTCGAAGTAAGTTTCTTCTTTATTGTCATTTTCATTTAGCTGTTCGTAATTTTCGAAAGAAAATGTTCTCCAATTAATATTATGGACTAGAACAGCTTAACATGGTAGTCTTGTATATGCACTCCTATGTATGCAGTATTAATTTCAGAGTAGAAATGGGATGCTGTGGTAACATAGATTTTTCCGAATAATTAGTTTATTGTATGTATTACACTGTCTGTCTGTTTTCGACATAGAACTTTGCACTGATGTGCAGCAGTTCAAGTCGCCACACTCCATGTAGAACACAAAGCAAAAGAAGAAAGAAGAAGAAATGCATAATAGAGATAGTAAACAGAGGTGTGAGACAAAGGAATGGTAATAGCAAAGAACGATATAGTTTCATTGGAAATCATAAGTCACAAGGAGTGGATGCATCTGCGCCAGACATTGAGATCAATTTTGGGCCATATCACCAATTGTCTCCAGCCATTGGTGTTTACCTTCCCGAGGACCCCGACCAGTCAGGAAGTCTACACCCGCTTACGTGGCTGGCTTAAACTAACTGTTGTGGATTTCATTGACTGGTGCCATGTTTTGGTTTGACCGCCACTAGCTCTTTTCCAGCCTGACCCTATGTCAGCTAACAATGCCCGTCGAGGAAGGCGATGGCTATGCATGCATGCGTAACACATGTCCTAACCATCTCAGTCGATGTAACTTCACAGCCTCGTCGATTGATTTCCCCTCCTCACCTAGCATTCGACCGGGGCCTAACCTCGATATTGCTCACCTTATTATACCACTTCACACGGGAGATAGAGCGTAGGCACCTATGATCGAAGACAGCTAATCTTTTCATGTCTTCCATTCTCAATGGCCAGGTCTCACAGCCATAAAGAATGACGGAGCGGACTGTTGAGCAGTACACACACCCTTTGGTCGATAGTCGGATATCACATCTACGCCAGAGACTATGTAAACTGGCTTATGCTGAGATTTCATCAGAGATCAACCCGTTGGGGCTGATGGTACTTCCCAAATAAGTGAAGTGGTCAACATGCTCAACTACTTCACTCCCTATTTCTAATTTAGGGGTCGGTGTAGTCCAATCCTGCAGCATCATCTTACATTTTACAGGGGCGAATCGCATGCCAAACATACGAAGATTGTTGCTCAAGGTGTTCAGTAGACTCTGCATTTTGTCAGCGTCTTCGTCTAGAAGGACTATATCGTCTGCATATTCTAAGTCAACGAGATTATTCCCTGGTAGCAAGTCAATCCCTGAGTCTCTGAAGTGAGTTAGGGTTAAGTCCATTAGTACATCTATGATGAAATTGAATAGAAATGGGGATAATGGGCATCCTTGACGGACACCACTAGTCGTCACCACTTCAGATGACAACTCGCCATAAGTCCTCACCTGGCTGCATGAGTTCGAGTAGAGTGCCTTGATCAGTACAATGTATTTTCTCGGCATTCCCTTTACATTACATTAACTGAATAATATTTCCATCATAACTTATTCTTCATAGTTTCCGTACGACCTATCTGTGTTTAGTGACTCAACATCTTTACAACAGGACTACGTCTAGGAGAGTTGCTTATGTGAACTACTTAGGCTTTGAATCTTACTGAAAATCCCTTAGTTAGGTATGTCCTGATAAATTTAGGTTAGCGTGATTTGAGCGTTTGAATCATTGAAGTGTGTAGGATGGTGAATGTGATTTAGCCGTGATCGAACAAAAAGAATCGTAAGTCTTTACAAGTTGAGTTTCTCACAGTGTTTGCCCCTTAAACTTGATTCGATTGTCATGTAGTAAGAAACCCAAAGGAGAAGCTAAAGTCTTTCGAATTTGGTTGATTTTCGTTCTTATTTACACCATATCTGACAGGTGTTTAGTTATTCACCATATTTCAACATCTCATCTATGATGAATACAGGATGCTGATTTCATTATTTGAGAATAGTTTTTGTGGATTTGGTTAATTTTGAAGTAAATTATTTTGCAAACCGATACAAGATAGAGAGATATTAAAAATCCAGGACTAATAAATAATCGATTCATCCTACATCCCAAAATGTGTTTCACTGGACCTCATAAAATATCGTGGACAAGAGCGTCAGTCCACAGGGTGGTTACGTTATCGCCTAATCACTGAGCCTGGACCTCAGTGACTCATTATTTCTAACTCCTACCAACTAGTAGAATAGCACTACCTGTATTTAAGCCATTGAGGAGCGTTTGTCTTCACAAATACATCATGGATTCCAATGATGGTGACTTCCTTCCATTTTTGCTTCGAGAATTCTATTTCTGAGGTATTCATTATTGATCGCGGGTGTTTGATTTATAGGTGAATTTGAGTAATAACTCATTGTGCTTCATGAGACTGATTTCCTCCATTTCTAGTAAGAGGTCCTAATAAAGGTTGTCTCCTGCGTAGGACTGCGTAGGTCTTCATTGGTGACATCTAGTTAATGGTGGTGGGGCTATATCACAAGTTCTTGAGAGTTAGAACACAGGCTATTGGATTCCAACCGACGGGTTGAATTATAATGGGGTTGTTTCCCAGCCTGATTGAGTTATTAAAGATCTCCTAAATAGGATGAAACAATTTTCAAGGATTGTCTAATTGACTGAATAACTTGGAATAAATGCTTGTCCTACCAGTTAATATTTGCGCGTACAGTTTTCGTGTTTTACTGACAGGTGACTTGACATCTGGTTTAATTCATTCGATAGCTGGATATGCTTTGTAATATTTTGTAAATTCTATTTCATGGATGTGTGTGCCCTGTCTAGTAGACGTAATTAAAATTCGTTCGTGCACAACTGCTTTCCTATTCGTCGCTTTTATTCTTTTTCCCCCATCTTTTCGTTTTACAGTCTGATTCTAGTCGCATTCTAATGGATGAAAGATCAGAATTTTTAAATTTTCTTCTCTATCCAGACGATGGTTTTCAGCATGATGAGAAGCCTTTGAAGAAACAAGATAATCATACCTCGGATATATCACAGCCTTTGTTACACAATTTAGGCTCACTTACCCTTCAGTCAGTGGACAACAGTTCTAAATCACATGATTCGGCTAATGAGAGCAACTGTGAAACCATAATGAATTTAACTGACCAGCAACCAGCTGTATCAGATGTAAATCAAACCGATTCTGCACTGACTTCAGATCTTAATGGTAAAATCGTTTCCAGTAGTCAATCAGAACAGCAGGCTATACGAAATCACTCGAACAGTATTTCTAGTGATAATAACAGCTTTGGAGAAACAACCGGAATGCATAATGTTACACAGAATGGAATTCAATATCACGATTGGATGAGAGTAGCATCCAACTTAAATCCTGGTATGTCTTTTTCTCGATTAGTGTTATAGTAAGCTTTATTAATGAACCAACAGAGTGGAAACTGTGCTCATCCACTACTGTTTTAATGCTACATGTAAGTGCTATTTATTGTGCGTCGGTGGCACAGCGATAGAGTGCTCGCCGACCACGCAGATGGTCCGGGGTTCAATCCACGGCCGATGCACTCCTTTACATCACTAGGCCAGTAGTAAGACTGGTAAAGAGGGAAGGTTGGGCAACCCCATCCTGTGAAAATAATCACCGCTGATACAGAAACTTCAAGCTGGCTCTACCTTGAAACCCTTTGTTCCACTGGGAATGTAGAGGAATAAGAGAAAAATTGCACGTGAATGTTGAATAGGAAGGTGGTTGTTAGTTATCTGTATTTGTCGAATTATGATATCTGATAGTATCAGGCATGCTATTAGTCTATTCTGGTTCACTGTAATAAATGTATTCGTATTCTAGCTCATATATATAATCCTATGGATCAGGTCAACCTAGTCAATTACTGGATACCTTCATGCACTATTGATACTCTGCCCTGCATAACATATTTAGTTTGTTTCTTTATAACTATGTATTCACACACAAGTGTGGAGTAATATAAAAAAAAGTGCATACGTTTTTATAAATGCAAATGCAGGTATGATTGTCAGGCTTGTATGTGTTCACGTTGTATCTTGGATGATGTAATATGTGAATCAATACAGAAATGCAATGAACAGTAAAAAATTTTGGTATATACGCTTAATTGGATTGTGGAAATGAATGGAATACTACTCTGTAGATTGCATTTGATGGATGCTGTTACAACGGATTACTAAATATACATTTATGCATCCAGTTTGGTGATAAGTGACTAAAATACTTTGGAGCACACTTGTATTCGAATTCTTGCTCAAGTAAATTGTCACTCTGAAGCAAGAGAGAAGATTTGAAGCTCATATTGGGGACGATAAAACACTGACGATCAACTATAAAAGCTTCACTAACACCAAGGAGTTTTCGTAATCCTAGTTATCTGAATATCTTGGCAAAATTCGACCAGAAATATATGCCATGAAGGGATTTTTATATTCTCCCGACAAATGTTTCAGACATTCACATTTGTAGAACTGTTGATGGCTTCTTAGAGCATTTATCCATACAATTTTTAGGAGATTTCCATGTACTGTGAATAAAGTAACAGAAATTATTTATAGGCTTACTTTCGGGTTAGAATCAGGCAAATGTTTCCAAAACTAAATAAATACCATTGCATCCTGAACCAGTGGATAAAAAAAATTAGTGTACTCGGCCTGCAATCTGACAGTCATGAACTCAACTTCTTTTGGGAGAATTGATGCTTATTACGGAATAGTCCGAACTAGGTCAGAATTGTTGCCCAGTTGTTCCTATATCTCACTTTGTTCTTTTTTCTGCCATCCTCTTCAGCTGAGTCCACGATTGCCTATAATCTCTCATCTCCTCCTCACACGATCTCCTCCATGTCACCCTTGGATGACCCACTCGTCGTTTCTCATTCGGGTTCCACTCGAGGGTCTGGCGTGCGCTGTCATTCGACGGCCTCCTCAATGTATGCCCTATCCATCTCCATTTTCACCCACATATTTGTTGAACGATAGGTTCTTAGTTTGTTCCTATAGTTACTTGTTGCTAATTCTTTTTGGCTAACCGGTTAGCCATCTGATCCTCAATATGGAGCTCGTGAAGGTGCTAGCTGCTAATAAGAGTTTGCACTGGCCTGTTGGAAATCCTTTCCGTGACACGCAGTGCAAGTTTCCGAGTCGTACAGAAGGACCGAATTGACACTGGAAATCCTAATCTTTTTGTTTGTACGCCTGAGCGCAGAAGATTTCCAAACTAGCTTCAAGTTGATGAAGGCGTATCTTACCTTCCCGATTCTGGCTTTGGCAGAAACTTCAACGCACAATGAAAAAATATTCATTGCTGAATAGCATTCAGAAATGGTTATTATTAAGAGCATTTAGATTTATATTACATGCTTTACACCAGATATGAGTTCGCCGTTTTTTTTGTGGATTTATAAGTGTAGAGGCTGACGAGAATACAGAATTTTGCTCAAAGTATTATTATTTTGTATAACATTCATTTGTAAAGATTATTTTTGTACTAATAATGTTCTGATTATGACACTGGAAAACTGAACGGTCGTATTCATTGATCCTTATTTACTACTTATGGCAGACATTCATATCTACTTGTCACCTCTTCTTCTTTCCTTCAGTTGAACTAACATATATTGTGCAAAGATTAGTGAATGAATTGAAACGTTGGATATATCGATTTGTTTCTGATTGGAATTTCAGGTTAGTCCATTTTTTTTTTTGTTAAATACATTCAGGATTACTTTAGTGCTGTTGTGGTTGTTGTTGGCTTGTATGTAATGAGTGGTTTTATTCCAGGTGATCTGAGCATAAAGGTTGTTATAAGGCAGGGATAAATTGCATACAACTTTTGTGTAAAGTATTTCTCAGCGTTCTTTTTCTGTGCTGTGTTTGTGTATATTTAATTGTAGTGGATATACAGTTCTGTGCATAAATTCATCAATTATGTGCATTACATATAAGAGTGGCTCTAAACTATAGAAGCCCAAAGTGAAACTACCTTAATGAACGGATTATTGACCTCCAGCAACCAATCAGATGAGCCCGTAGTATATTGACACAATTATGGATGCTGTACATGAATTATGTAGCAAAGTTCATCCAGATCTAGTAAATTAGTACTGTTTGAATAACAGGCTTATATGAAGGGGGTAAACGATAGAATTGAGTGCTAATCAACAGTGGGTTTTGGTATTATATGACACCATCCTGTGGAAAGGATATATCCAGATGATCCCCAATCGTAGTTCCAATGTTTTACTACCTACTATTCAACGTTTCGTCCTAGCTGGTACAACGATTTACGCAAACCAGTGTAGTAGCTACAGCTAACTGTCATTCCTGGGTTACATTCACAACGTGGTCAATCATACAGACGACTTCATTAATCTTTTCGATGGAACTCATACAAGTTCCGTCGAAAGTGTCTGGAGTCACCTAAAAAAGAAGGTCGAGACATTGAATGGGTCAAGAAACACGATGATTTACAGTTATTTCGATGAATGTATGCACAGAAATTGGTTTAACCTAACCATGAGAAATCGAAAGGTTATCTTGGAACATATACAAGAACGTTAGCCTATTATGCACTTTTCCTTCAGACGCATCTGACTGGTCGATAGAGATATGTCAAGGTCTTCATTAGATAGTTTCGTTTGGGCTGCTACAGTTTAGAGTTATTCATATAAGAATAGGAGGGTTTTATCGAACAATCCGCACATCAAAGAGTATTTCTATGCTGCTTTATAGTTTCATTTTTGCGTAGGGAAAATTTAACCATCTATCGGATGGTGTTTCAGGTGTTAATTATCATCCAACTTTAACATGTGAACTGTTTCCTGCCACTTTATGAGATTTACAGTTTTGGCTTCTAACTTTACTTTTTGAATGGTTAACACTTCCTGTTATACTTCAGTAACTAATATCTGTTAGCATCATTTTTTTGCAACTGTTACTTGTATTCAGTCTCGCTTAGAATAATTATTGGAGTTTACTTACCATTCCATTACATAGTGCAGAACTGATATACTGGGTATGTGGTTAGTGTCTGTAATTACCTTCTCTGAACATAAGCCTTTGGCAAGGAGTTAAACCTGAAACCTCAATAATTGAAATGAACAAATCATAGTCCCACTTATAATTACTAATCTATAGTTGGTGTATCGCCCAGTTTAGGTTGCAGCATACCTTATTAGGCTAGTTATAGTTTTGTAACTAGAATGTATAGTTCATTGCCCATCCTGTGAAATACGTTTTCACTGAAGCTTCCATTAGTTAGTTTCATACTCATTGTCTTAAGCACTCGAATTGAAGCTGGTGAGTCCGAAGATTGGGTCCTACTCCATTTTCTTAACCCGGACAACCGGGTAGTATCATAAGCCACCATACCATATGTGTGATTCATATCCTGATACATTGAAAATTTGTGTCGGGCGACTGAGTTCAAACAAACATCATATTCCCCTTGTATAAGAAAATCGCCACATCACGAAAAGCATTTCCAATGG